TTTAGGAAGTTAGACAGCTTCTCCTTGTGCTGTTATGCTACTAGAGTTCTCAAGCACGTGGACTGCCAATACCCATTGTCGGCGCAAGACTCATTTTCAAGTTGCAATCGCATGATTGAGGACTCAGGTCCTAGAAAGATAATTTGGTTGCTCGGTGTTCTTTCTGTGCTTGGTAACCTGGCTGTTATAGCCTGGCGTCTAATTAGGCGCGACGACCACCCGGTTCAGACCTGTCTTCTGACGAATCTCGTGGTGTCCGACTTTCTCATGGGAGTGTACCTTATGATTGTAGCCATTCAAGACCAAATATGTGCAGGTATGGGTTTCGATCACCAGTGTTTCGTTGGGAGCAATACAAGTTCTTATTTTTTTTCTATTTTACTGACAGAGCATTTATCATAAGCTTCGCTAGTTTTATAAGTCAGAGATTTCGAATCAAAATGATGAAACAGTACGTAACCCTTTTAAGGGTCTTTTTAAATGACCTTAAAAATCAATTTGACGGGATCACACTGAATCGAGCCTTAAAATATGAGCTCATGATCTGGAAAAAGGGGGCTGTCGCAGTCTGTTCCCTTTTCATTTTCGTGTTCGCTTTCCCAATTTCGCGGGCCCGACTATCACGGAGCTTCGAACACTCAGGCTAAACTTTGACCGGGTGTCAATTTAATTAAACTGTTACTAGAATTTTGACATCAATCCTGTGACGTCATTTCCCGCCAAAACCGTTAAAATCATAAGGTAAAACCAACAAAACACGCGCAATAAAAAGTTGTACCATCCTGCAAAGTTTCAGATCAAACGGATAAAAATTGTAAGAGAATTCTTTCCTGGTCATTTTTGATGGTTTTTTTTTTTTTTCAAGAGTGCAAAGCGCAAAGTGTTGCTATCGATTTCATACTCTAAATGCGTACAATCGTAAATTCTTCATTAAATTGACCCCAGCCTCAGCTACTATAATACATATCGTGACTTCGATCGAATTCTTTTAAATAATAATGTGACTTGGAAGACATTTTTCGGGTACAGCATACAATAGGGTGCACAGACAAGTGAGTGTTATCATAATACTGAAAGACTGCTTCATTTCCAGGTGCTTACTTTAACTTCGACCTCACGTGGCGATCAGGAACACTTTGTAAACTTGCTGGTGCTTTATCAGTGCTGTCAAGCGAAGTCTCGGTACTAATGCTGACTGTTATAACTGCTGACCGATTGATCAATATCGTCTTTACATTCAGCTGTCGCCGACTGACGCTAAGGGTAATTTACGTTATTTGCGCAGCCGTCTGGGTCATCGGAATCATCATTGCCATCGTTCCAACAAATGATGTCCCCTATTTTTACAACGAGGACAGACAATATGGATTTTACGTTATTTCGATTTTCAAGTGAAACTCCGTCCCCCTTAATTTAATTTCCCCTTACTGTCTAGCTCTTTTAATCTAATGGAATAAAACGTCTTGATCAGTCTACCGAAGTATAGTGATGTCAAGGAAAGTTTCGGTTATTTTTTAGAGAATCTTAGTAAAATGCTTGACAGAAGATTGTTATGGTAACAGAATACTGCGCTCTGTGACTTTTTGGGTGAGAAACTGTCATCGCCATCTTCCTCATCATTATTATCATCATTATCATCATCATCATCATCATCATCATCATCGTTATTTACTTCTTGTTCTTCCTCTCTCCTTATCATTATTATTAGCCTGTCACATTATCTGATAATATATAGATTTAGCCAGGGCTAAAAGCGAGGCTCCCATGCATTAATAAATTTATAATTTAAATCAAACAATAAACTTGTATTCTACAATTCAGTTAACTTTAGAGTACATTCATGTGACTTTTCAGGGAAAGGCTAAGTGATGTTAGACAAAAATAATTTGCAAACAACCCCAGAGTGAACCAAATCTTACATCGAGTTGATGGCCTCATATGTACACCCAAAAACTGGCAATCGTCTTCGATCACATTTTTTAAGGGCCATAATGGCTCTTGATCACCGTAGGTTAATTAGGCCTGGAAAAAAGTTCCGGCCGAATTTTTTGCGTTCGACAAGTTTACTTTACAAAATATTGCCAACAAATCTGGGTTCGTGTAAACCAACCTTATATATCATTTATACATCACATCTGAGGTGAAACAATACTATGAGGCACTGTTTTTATCATACAGACCTCGGACAACAGAATGCAGTATTTGACAGTTTTGCAATACAAATTGCTATCATTCAATATTCAGGACGATCAAAGCACGCGTGGGCTTTAGCTAAACTGTAAAAAAAATTTCCAAAATCACCTATACGGCCAGCCGGTTCTGACTTTTGAAGTGCTAGCTGTGGCGAGTGTTTGAATGAACTTTTAACACAGTTAAGCTCCAATATAATAAAGAATTTATTATGTTTATTTTTTATTTTAAAATGGTTTAACGCGCGGCACTTTGAGTACTCTGAGAAGCGTTGTTCACTGAACGACTGAAAACAATCGGCACAGCGATTAAAATTACAAGAGAGACTACTAATAATCAATAAAAGAAATAAAATTCGGTGAAACATATACAGAGACGACAATTTTCATTCAGGAAGACAAGTATTAAAGTGTTTCTAAAAATCCTGAGTCTTCGAGCTTAAAGCTGAAGTTTTTGTTTTAAGCCGGCTTCCCGGTGTTTGCTTTTTTCAAAGACGAACTCGAGGCAAGAAAATCGCTCAAAGCTTCTTTTACAGCCTGAATTATAACTAAAAATTCTTTGGAACGTGTTCTTTCTATTTGCGGTGAGAAAAAAGATCTGTAAGCTTATATAAACCTGATACTCGGTCAGATCATTGTCTCAAATCTTACAAACGTGCGTAAACAAAATAGCCGCATAAACTACGCTCGACTTCATTAAATTAGAAATAAAAAACAAACATCAAATACAATAATTACTCGGGCTTACCACTCGAGATGCAGCTCCTCAAAGGTATCAAGTAAGGCCAGTATCGCTTCAGACTTTGAAACCCTCTTACGCATTAAGCAAGATGAAAACGAAAACGATGCCATCCGAAATCGGATTTCCAACTTTGACAAGTGACGTATTTCTCAACCAAAAACCCAATAAACAAACTAGCCATGGATAACAGAAGACTTCCGATAGCACCTGAATTTCATTTTGTACATCCAGTAGAAAAGGACAGTTAAAAAAATCACAAGTTGACACAAAACTCTGTCAGCTTCAGCTGTCAAAGTAAACAAGACTCAAGATGCCGCCTAAATTTTCCGCATGAACTCACCTGTCAAATTTTGACCAATCAGAGCATAAAAATTGGACGTAGAACGTGACCAACGCGTGAACATGGTGAGAAAAGTCAAAAGCAACTGTCTTCCCTGCCTGTAGCAGCTGACTGAATTTTCGCGTCCGAGATCAGTTTGAAATCAAAATTTTAATTGTGCGCCACATAAACACAACATATTTCATACGAATTTTTTAAAAAAAATTAAACTTGAGCCTGCGATCATTTGAAAACCAGTACCTTGTCAGCGGATAACTTCAAAAAAATACGTGACCTCGATGGGTCGAAACCTGAGCCCGCGATTCGCTCAAGTGATACCGGTCAGCGGATACCTTGTTTTGACAGCTGTCAATTGATCACAACATTGATGTCCAATATGTGTATCAGTTTTCCTATGCTCCCAAACTAGCTAAAAAGTATGATTGAACATTGTTCGCGATCTAGTAAAACGATTAACTGGTCAGCGGACAGCTTCCAAATAAATCACGTCACCTCGATGAGTTGACACATGAGCCCGCGATATGGTCATGGGATACTGGTCAGTGGCTATCCTGTTTTGACAGCTGTCAATTGACCATATTGTGAGTGTCATATATAAAAGATGAGGACTTGCCAAGACACGCCTGAGACACCCCTCCCTTCCTTTTGATAGTCTCCCCTACCCTACCCGTACAATCTGTAGACGCGTACGTACGTACGTACGTACGCTCGGTCAGTCACGTGACAACCAAACGAAAAGAGGTTGACCATATTCCATGAGTATGGGGCTCTGTCCCACGCGCGCTTCGCGCGCGGGAGCCCCGCTATTAAGGACCAACTAAAATACGTAATTCGTATTTTTTTTTAAGGGCGTTCTGCAGTTTGTCTCCCTCTCCAACTGTCCTCAGAAAGGCTGGCCGGCTGGGAGTATTCAGTTGCCATATTTATCGCTTTGAATCTCACAGCTTTCCTTTTCATCATGACAGCCTACATAGCCATTATCTTTAAGGTGTTTAAGTCACAGCAGAGAATCAACGCACATGGAGAATCAAAAACCAATAACAGCCTCAACAGAGAGTCGGCCCTCGCTCGGAGAGTGTTCGCCATCATCTTAACTGACTTCAGTTGCTGGATTCCTGTGATAATTTTGAGTATTCTTGCCCTCGTTAGGAAGTTCAATGATCCCGACGGAACGGCTTACGTTTGGTTCGCTGCGTTTGTCCTGCCGGTTAATTCATCAGTTAATCCAGTGGTCTACACGTTTTCTACACCGAAGGTAAGAGCGCAAGTAGGGAAACCAATGAAGGTGTAAAAATGACTACATTTTTCGATATTTATATCCTTTAGCTCTTGAAACAAGCTATAGCTACATGCCATAAAAAAATCTACAATCCTGGTCATAATTTGTTGAACCACTTTCGGAAAACACAAGAAAAACTAAGTTTTTTCCACGAATACATGTACATGTATCGCTTCCCTCTCCTTCCGTCAATGTTAAGAGTTTAGGAGGCGGAGAAATCAACAAGCGTTTCAACAGTTATGACTGTTAATGCAGCTGTTTGTGGTGGGCAGATCTTTGGAGTAAAAAGACGATTCCTCTTAATTTCGTCAGTCAGGGAAGGTAGGATCAGAGAAAGGAGCCGATTCCCTGATTGTAACTGAGTCTTCCCACCCTTTCCCTATGAAACCTTCTGGACCATTTGCATCTAGAATAGCACGCACTTAGCACAGATGTTTTAACCGGGGAACGTTACGGGGAATGGAAGTTTAATGAAAAAAGTTTTGCTGTCTGAAAACTCTCTGGAGTGATCGTCGGCGCCATTGGCCATCATAATTTTAGTCGGGTGCGAAGCCTTTTTAACGGAAACATTCTCAATATTCTAAGAAAAAGATACTTACTTTAACTGATTATTTTCTCCACCCTTGCCCATACATTTTTCCACTTAACGTTAAATGAAATCGCAGCGAATAATCATAATGCGTGAACGTTTGACTGTAGTGGATGGTGACTAGTACAGGGTTATGTTGTCTACAGTTGCTCTCTTACGTACCACCCTCCTCGTCCCATATTTACCGGAATTGAGGACATAAACTAATCGATTCGATGCAGGGGGGGGAGGTGTCTCCAAGGTAATCTGTGGCACAGTCCGCCTGCCAGTATGACGTCACGTCTCCCGTCAGTAACTTTCAAAATGGCGAGCAAAGTGGTCATCGAAGAGACGGATAAAAATTTCGATTTTATCACGCAAATACTGTTCCGATTTCTTGGATTCGGAGATTTTAAGGTTTCTATTGTCATAGAAAACTAGACTTAAGTACTTTTTTGGAATGAAATGTCCAGTGGTGTAATGAATTTTAAGTATTCCTTTTTATCGTCGAGCAAATTTTGCGGGCAATCATACCGACCAGTCACACTTTTCAGGGCCAGTGCACAGGAGGAGGTTCATCAAAGGATGTATTATAGTTTACATTGTGCGTATTTTCAGCTCTTCAGAGCTAGTGGAACCCCATATCATTCCTCTCAAAGTTCGCTTAGCTGTAGCGTTGAAAGAGGAAGCTAAATGACAGGTATTTGTGAGAGTCTGTGGGCACTGAATCTTGTTGCTTTACCGCATCTTAATACTGTATTGGGCATACACCTGTAATTTTGTGGTGTACTGTGTGTTGTTTGTCATGATGTCAACTAACATTGTAAAAAAACCAGCTGTTTCAGAGGAGGGACATTTCTTTGACAGCTTATTTTTTTTCTGCTCGTAAGCTTGGCCAGTATGCAGATCAAGAGCTTTTGAAATCCCTTTTCCAAAGTAAAACTCCGGACTTAAGATTAAATATATATTGATCCAAGTGCATGACCAGCAGGGTCAGCAGTAAGAATAAAGAAAAACAGGCCAAACGAAAAAATAGTGTTAAAAAAAGAGACCAAACAGAAAAAAAAAAAAAAACGGTACAAAGAAACAGCAAACAGCGTCGAAGGGAGTCGAACCCAGTCTATCTGCACGTTCAAGTAACTCCTTGACCACTGCACCACAGTGACACACATGATTTGGAAAATTAATTTTGTCACATCAAAACAATTTTTCTCTGCCATAGACGCTGTTTGAAGCTGGTGGAGCTGTATTTACCATGAATTCAAATAAACATTTGAGGAAAATTAGCTGAAGCGCGTATTTTAAAGCTATTTCGCATTATTTCGCGTTCAACGGGCCGACACGATGTGGATGATCGATCGAACTAGCTTTACTAGAGGCCCATACTCGAAAGGAATGATATGAAGCAAGGCCCGTTAATTAGCAAAAGAATAGATGAAATATAAACATGTATGACCTGTGAATGGAACCTCCTCTTCTGGAGACTAGACCATGCCTGTTTTAGAGAAAAAAAAAATTTAAGTTTTGATGACCTTGCCGGTTCCGTGAAATAGATGGCGATCCCGCAACACTGCCGGCAAAACAATTAACAAAATGATACAATCACGGACACAAAATATCAATACGTTTTACAGAAGCAGATTATAGCAACACCAAAGCTCACACACATTCGATCAAATAAGCGACATATAGCGATATTTGCTAGCTTCTTAGCTTTTCCTTGACCTCACTCGTCTAAATAACTGTCGTTTCCCTTGCTAATTTGCACAAGCGACTCGAGGTTCTTGCCCGTTACTATGTGACGTAATACTGGCAGGCGGAGTGGGTCAAGAAACTTAGGTGGAAAACAATAGAGTTACCCCCCCGATTCCATGTTAAAAATTGGCTGTTGCATATTCTGGTAAAATACCGATCACAAGGGACTCTATTTGCACTTGTATTTGTTCACATGAGAGGATGGTTAAGTGTGGCATTTTTATATTCAAAAAATCTGTTTGGAGCTCTTTCATTTGCATATATTTCTAATTGCACTTAAAACTAAAGTTGGTTAAATATAGATATTCTCTCAGATTGCATCATTTCATCTAATTCTGGCTTTCTTTTGTGGATGGGTGAAAATTACAGAAAAGCGTATTTCAAAACAAAACTCACCCCTCCAAGCCTGGTGAAAGCTGATCGAGCAAAGGAATTTTGAAAACTTATGACGGTAAAAAGGCACTGTTATAGCTCAACACTGTTTTCATTGTTCATGAACGCCAGTCAAATTCAACAAGAATTCTGAACATATTTTCTTTGCTTTTTATCCATTAAAACTCAACGTTCACAATGCCTAATAGGGTGACTCTTAACGTCTTTAAGTAATTGAATTAACAATGTTCAACACCTATCATGACAGTATTTGCAGCTCTTGGATCGGTGGGTGCAGATGTACTTGTCTAGTGGAAGAGCAAAAGTGTCCTTCCTTGCTTTGAATCCAGTAACTTCTACGTTCAGCGACAAAAATGCCTTTTTCAGTGTATCTATTCGAAGAGTTTTGACCTTTCCTTCTGTAGCTAGATGACATAAATTATGCTCCTGGAACAAAATTGGGTGATCTGCCTGTACCTGAATTTCTATGACAAGCTGCAGCAGTTGCAAGTTTTTGTCCCGGATGTTAGGCTCCTCATCCTCAGTTTCAATACCATGGTTTCCTTCACCAATGTTCTTTACACGCTGAGACTTTGAGAGATTTGAGAAAAAACTTGCAATCTGCTTTGAGGTACACCACTCATAAGGTTGGAATAATAAGCCACCAGTTGTGTTTCTTACATGTTTCATTTCATGTTCAACCTGTTTTGGATCTGCTTTCTTGACTGTCTTTGCTCCATCATTGAACCTTTGGATTAAGTCATTACGAGCCGCAAGGTCGATTTTCGTGCACGCACCAGGGATCGTTAATTTCCATGGAAATACCCACAAACTTGACTCAAGTAACAACAAGGCGTTAGTCTTGACACATTTCCTTGCGCACCTCAGGTGTGCACATTAATCGCTTTCTGTCAGTTCATCTGTCAATAAACTCATTTTAGGACAGGATACAAATTTGCGTCAAATATCAGAACTTGTCTTCTGCGCGCCGAATTTATACCATCGGAGCGAGATATTTATTTATATTAACTAAAAAATACTTGAATTCACGATTGGTGTTAAAAAAGGGTCTTGTTGCAAGTCTTGGAAAAAAGACATATTTTTTTCGTTTCTTAAGCGAAAGGCAAAATCCACCGCTTTATGAAGGTCGAATTCGAACCCTCCAAAGTAGTAATTATTCGGTACGTTACCTGGTAAGTTACATATTGTCGCCGAAATGGTTTCAAAAGTTCAACGTGAAGAGTTCTGGATGTTATTTTACATTATGTCCGAAGAACAGAAACTGTGTTCGCTGATATAAGGTAAGAGAGAACTCTATTATTTAAAAGGTAGAGGAGCAGCAGCAGCAGTGGCTCTCGCATGCGGGGTTCGAGCACATCGGTGAAGCTGGTTTGACGACACAGAAACGGTGGTTCCAGGAAAAAGCAAACTGAGGAAATTATTTGCTTGTCTTTGGTATTGTGTATATCCTCGATCACTATACAATAACGCGCAAATATTATAATTCAAAGGGCATTTACAACACGCGCCAAAGGAGCCGTGATCCCGCCAAAATGCTCGAACCATCTAACAGAGTGTAAAAAGGGGGCTGGTAGGCAACACACGACTTTTACCTCGTGCCAAAATGCTGCTTGTTCCAAAAATTGTTTTCTCTGGTGGGTATATTATATTCTGGGTTCTACTCTTTGAATGAGTAAATGTGAATTTGGCCGCTTGTTTCATACTGAGAGGTCATGACACGCATATTGATTTTCTGCGGTTATTGTTCTGGTCGGCATGATTTGCCCGCTAATGCAAGAGCATTTTCTTCGACCTGTTTTGAAACGTAAATCTCTTCCTTTGCGGCTAAATAAGAGTTTTAGGTCTTTTATTCTTCTCCAAAGTGCCTCCTGGATCTGAATAACTAAAGGCGATATTCTTTTGTTCGTGAACGTGATGGTTTCCTTCAATTTTTGTCACGCTGGGCCCATCTCGTTTAGTATTTTCTGCACGATGTTAAATTTCCACCGAAAGTGATTTACAGATCCAAATTCCCAGGAATGGATTACCGGAACGCATTCTGTGAGGAGAGATTTTTTAAGTAAAAAGGACTCGGATCCTTAAATCGATCGTGTTCTAGCTAGCCAATTGCAGTTTTCATATTCTGCGTTAGTTTGGATGATTCAGTGGATTATTATCTCCGCTCCCTCTTGGCTTACAAGCGGCACGCCCAAGTTTAAGAGGTGAAGAGAGATTCATTTAAATTGAAACACTCGTAGCTTAAGTCGATCATGTTTTACCAGCTAGCCAATTGCAGCTTTTATACGCTGTGTTAGTTTGGATAATTCAGAAGATTATTCTCTCCTCTCCCTCTTAGCTTACAGGCGGCGCGCCCAAGTTTAAGAGGGGAAGAGAGATTTTTTTCAAGGGTAAAAAACTCGTAGCTTGAATAGATCATTTTTTACTTTCTAGCCAATTGCAGTTTTCATGCGCTATGTTAGTTTGGATAATTCAGTAAATTTTTCTCTCCTCTCCCTCTTGGCTTACAGGCGGCACGCCCAAGTTTAAGAGGTAAAGAGAGATTTTATAAGGTAAAAAAACTCGTAGATTGAATCGTCATGTTTTAGCTAGCTAGCCAGTTGCAGTTTTCATGCGTTGTTAGTTTGGATAATTCAGTAAATTTTTCTCTCCTCTCCCTTTTAGCTTACAGGCGGCACGCCCAAGTTTAAGAGGTGAAGAGAGATTTTTTTTCAAGGGTAAAAAACTCGTAGCCTGAATAGACCATGTTTTACTAGCTAGCCACTTGCAGTTTTCATACGCTGTGTTAGTTTGGATGATTCATTAGATTATTCTCTCCTCTCCCTTTTGGCTTACAGGCGGCGCGCCCAAGTTTAAGAGGTGAAGGGAGATTTTTTAAAAAATGAATAGTACGTAGCTAAAAGCGATCGTGTTTTAGCTAGTAAATGCAGTTTTTTTACATTGCTTTAGTTTGTATAATTCGGTAGATTTTTCTCTCCTCTTCCTAATGGCTCACAGGCAGCCCGCCCATACTTTAGAAGCGGTGATAAAGTATAAAGTAAGTAACAGCTTGAATCGATCGTGTTTTAGCTAGTCGTTACAGAGTTGTTGTTTTTGTTCATATCGTTAGTGTGTATAATTCAGTAGATTTTTATTTTCTCTCTCTCTTAAGTCTTTAGCTCTTATGCGATGCGCCCAATCTTACGACAAGTGGTGTTGGTTTCAAAAGTGAAATTTAGTAATTGTGATTTTTTTCTGATCTACGGCTCTCAGTCTGGATAATATTCAGCGTGATGCCTGTGTTTGATGTACACCGGAAACCGGAAAAAGCTAGTTTTGTCCGCGGGCGGCAATACGTTAATTTCGACAGTTTAAGGTAAAATATTAAGATAATGTCTAAATCATTTGTGAACTGTGATAGTTTTTTGCGTAAATATCTCTCTTCGATCAAATGTGACAGTTAGGCCAGATTTATACTAGCGATGTAAACATTTCCTCCGTCTATGTTGAAACCGAACAAACCTCGCGAGTATCCGCTTTGGCGGGTGATCTCCCTGAGAGATTATTGAGTTCTTGTTTTCATTGTTTATTCACCAAGTTCTCAGTTGTAATTATTTTTCGGTAGGATTGTTCTTATTTATTGTTTATTCAGTGGGTCGGCTAAAACTAAAGACGAAGAGTGAAGCTCCAATGCAGAATTTTTGAAGTCTATTTGATATTATGCTTTCGACAGTGCACGTGAATAGCAACTACGTTGGGTGTCCACTTAAGATAAACTGGATTAAGTGTCGAAGATGAAAGATTGCTCAATAAAACGAACATTGTTGACAGCTTTAAGATAGGCTCCGGATCTCTTGATGTAATATAACCCTTGGTTCAAAACAATAGACTTGGCGCCTCGCCCTTCAGAAATATGCGAAGATCGCGACGTTGAACGTCGCAATCCCCCGAAAATCGACCCAGCGGCTTGTAATGGTTTCTAACGTCTTCAGACATCCGGCTTGACTTTTGGACCATAACCTTCATAACCATCCTGCATTGGTGGAAAAGTGCGCTGTTTCTGTAAGCTTACGTTTGATGAGATGCTGGCCCACTTCTCCTTGATGACGTCGTACACAGTGTCTTGTTCCTCCACGAAGAGATGGCGTACCGCATCTAAATGATGCTGAAGTTCTTTGTAGGTAGAAAACATCTTAACACATCCTTCTTCCTCACAAGAGAACAGGCCGGGCGAAATGGAGGAATGTCCAGCCACTGAAGTCCCAGAGCAATTAGATGATGACGAAAACGGATTAAGAACTTTTATTGCTGTAGCTCCTTGAGCATTGGTTGTAAGGGAAGAATACGGATAAAATTGACCTCCCCCAATCTGATATGCTTCCCATGCCCGAATACCATCGTCAAAGAACATAAAATTGTTCAGGAAACTGATACCTGGGATCTTTTTTACCAGTGAGTTTTGGGTCGATTTATCAATTTCAACGACTGCAAAACAACATCCCCTAACGCCTTCATGAGATTCAAGTGCAATTTTCATTTCTTCCGCAGTAGTGATGTCATGGCCCTCGTTTACCCACCGTCACATGTGGGTTTTCATCGAGGCAACTGTACGGTCGCAAACATCTTTGCCAGATTGCGGATAAGAGAAATCATAGTGCTTAAACTCCACTCCATGTCTTTCCCCATGGCTTTGAGACTCAAGAGAAGCTCAGTGTTGTGATAACAACCGGCGTTATCAGAACGTAGGAAAAATTTGGTGATGGACAGGTCTTCCATCTTAATTACGCTAACAACGTGTTCGACTATTGACGCAACGCTGAACCAACCCTGGGTACAGAAGTCAAGGATGTGAACAAATGTGTCCACCTCAACTCTGTCCTCATCTTCGCTAGCTCTCTTAATCGAACAGGTCACATGCCAGCTTCTCCCACCCTTACTATAGAAGTCGTCCATCCTTTCGCGGAACTTCATTGGCAGAAATTTCATTGCCCAGTCCATGATCAAAAGGGTGCTTTCTTTATTAAGATTAGTTAGGACGTCTTGCTTAGCCTTTTCCTGGACTACTGTACGAAGCAAATGCGCCTTCCATAAGAGGATGGAATTTATGGCCTGTTTATGGTCATACTGAGATCTAGCCCTTTGTTCTTCTGTCACACGAACGTTCTTGTCATTTAACTTCTCATCGACTTTTTCAACTAAACAAGTAAGCCGTGCACATTCATGACAGGATAGTTCATGCTCATGGTTGCATGAAGTAGAGTAGTCACTATTATTCGGATTACTGAGCGAAAACGTGGTACAGTGATCTTTACATCTCTCTTTGCTGCCCGTATGAGTTTTGTAATCCGTCTTGAGGTATCTCTTACTAGCCTTTAGATCCTGTTTGATAGAATTTGCCCAGGTGACATCGACCCCGTTCTCTTGCAGCACGTTTACAATGGATTTCAACTGATCGAAAGCTTCCGCACCTTCTGTGGCAATGTAATCAAGTCCTTGTGACGAGACCTGCTTTGAAGCAGAGCATGCCTCCAATGTTCGGAAGAGTGTACGTTCACTGTATGGCTCAAAAGCTACGCTCTCGCAGTAGCTTTGGTATTGCTTGATGATTCGGGATGGAATCAAAGTTTGTATGGCCGCTGGTATAAGAAGTTTCTCTCCGTTATCCAAATTCAACGACTTTGTGCCATATGATACATCTTGCAAAAGGGAAGATGAAGAAAAAAATCTAGATAGTTATCAGTTTTCGTTGCATCAAGACGCACTCTTATAATTTCTGGATCATTGCTTGGCTTTCCTGGTCCTCTCAAGTCAGCGTGTCTGCGGGCATCATCGATTTGTCGTTTAGAAATACCTGGGATAATCTCCATTAGTTGGCTTTTGCTAAATGCATTCACAAACAAGGATAGTATTTGCATTCGGGTGTGTCTGTTATCAGCTAACTTGAAAGCCTCCACTAGCCTTTCTGTGATGTCGTCAGGCTTTGATTGAGAAAGCGGCATGGTCTTCATTGTAGCAAACCACAAATCGGCTTCACTTCCAGGAGCGAGACAGTTGAAAGCTGTTTCAATAACCTCTCTAGCCTTACGCACGTAATAACCCTGTTGCCGCTCACCAAGTTCAGGCCATGGTAACCTCGATGTACTTTGAATTGGACTTACCCTACCTTCAGAAATTTGGACAATTGAATCACTTAGCAAGCATCGTTTTCTTTTCAACTCTTCTGCTTCGTCAATGTATAGGTTGCATTCATAGCTTGTTTCCAAAGTTGGATCCAGAGAAAAATCTAACAGTGACGAACAGTGGGTACCTGACAAAAGTGATTTGTCTTGATCAGCGTATTTCAGTACTACTTCCACCTCCTGATCCTCTCCTACACTACACAAAACTTGTCTGCACTCAAAATAAAATATTGATTGTAAAGGTGGGAGCTGATGACGGAGGATAAAAACGTCACAATGTTCGATTTGGAATTTTGATTCAAAGAACCAAAAACAAAAGCACCTGGTTTTCTGTCGGTGGTTGTCTTTACACGAGGTTGTCAAGTAAGAAGACTTCAGAGATGTAGCCTGCATAGCAAGAGCCGGCTTTTCTATTCTTTTTTTTTTTTCTTGGACAGGCCGCGGGAACACGCGCGTCCACGAGATTTTCGTCCTTCGCTCTAAAATCACCGGCGCCTGCTACGCAGGCTATAAGAGCTGCTAAGTTTTACTTAACCTAAAATGCGTGTGTGAGGACCTAAGTAAAATCTCAAGTAATTTTACTTTGCATCTCATTAAGGACGGAAAGTTGAAAAGATTTAATTAAAGTCTCAAGGGACTTGAGAGCTTTGCGAAAGGCAAAGCATGTCAATCAATCTTAATTACGTTGCGTGAGAAAATAGCCTTAAGTTAACCTGAAGTAAAAAAGAAACGGTTGTGTGTCAAGCTTTATTTTACTTGAAGTATTTAAAATTCACTTGTTTCGAAAAATATTTCTTAGCTTACTTCGGCTCTACTGTTAAGACTACTAATGCCAGCAATAGCCACGCAATAGCAATTGTTGACATTGGGTGTGAGTTGTATTGCCCTTCACATCCCTTTCATCGCTGGAATATTTTATTTAAGTAAAGAAAAGTCTCCGTTAATTTGACTCATCCGTATTTGATGTTAAGGACAACAGCGTTGAGGATATTTTCACCCTGAAAGACAACTGCAGTATGTTTGAGATTGAACACATGCGATTACAATATTTACATTACCTCTAGATAGTTGGAAGTTACATTTTCGGGAGTTAAATGAAGTTCTTGAATCTTTTCGTCAAAGCAGGTCTTGCAAATGGCTTTGGAAAGAAAAGAAAAAGGAACACTATATCAGATAGCTTATCGTTATATTTTAGGTTTATTCCATGGTCCATGGTACTTGAATTCTTGAATATAGAATTTGACTTTGTTCCTTACAAGGCTATCCCAAAATAACTCACGACAAACAAGAAATGTTCAGCATTACTTACGGGCAGCGATTGGTATCACGATCCTCGTTTGTTGGTATATTCTCCGTCTCTGAAATGTCTGCAGTCACCTTCTTGGGTTTTTTCAATTTGGAAATTTCACCTTTATGAAGAGGGTGTGACATTGTCCAGTTAGTTCTCGTAAACGTGTGAATTTACGGCGGTGACGCGGACAAATCGTCATCTTGATTTCCGCATTCACGACACCACACCTTCCAGTTTGATTCAGTATTAGTTTGTACTCAGGAAAATGTTGAAGTCTGTGCGAGGCTGAAGTTTTGGTGCCTCCAGCACCAACTTTAACCAAAAGGTGACGGCTGGCTCACACAACTTTAAATTATCGCGAGCACCACAAAGGTCATCATTACTCCAGAAAGAACATCGAATTAATAACATTGTTTTTACTACCTCAGTAGTACAATTTTATACTTTTCCAAGAACTGCCAAAAGATACTGATGATGAGAATTCATCATTAACACAATTAAACACGATTTGAAATTTAATTATGAGCAGCAAGTTCACGTGCAGTTTCCCCCAATTTCATTTTCACTTCTTGTAAAAGGGATTGAAGTGAAAAACCGCAGCGTAAAGTACGCTGTATCTCATCAGATCATTGCTCTAAGCAAATTTGGGTGTATCGCGCAGTGACTTTTTCTTCTCACAAACAAGACTGCAGCAACAACAAAACCGAAACTCACGAGCAGCTGTGTAAAGCTCACCCTCCGCCCCCCTTACCCCCCGCGCCCATCCTCTGTTTGTGCCTACTTATTCTCGAAGATACAAAGACACCTAGAGCTGAAGGCAAGTGAAACTATTTAACTTATGGACGTTTTCTAGCTTTCGCGGAACCTAGATGGAAATATAAGATAAAAAAAAAAACAAACAAAAAAATGCTATCGCTTTCAGATCATGACCTTGGCTGCCTGTGCCCAAAGCGGGTGAGCTGAGCAACAAGTCATGTTAGCAGGTGTGAATCATGGGGAATATTGGCTCACTGGAAACAAAAACAAATGTCAAACTCTGTGAAATGCAAAAGTAAGTCATAGCTAGGGGCAAGGACAGTTTATGTGGCGCGCGGATCGATGTGGTAGTGAAGTGGTTGGGGAGAGAGAGAACATGAAATGAATGTAAAGGCCCAGGTTTAATTATGGGTTTTGGGTTTCTTTTTACTAGAAACACTTTTTACTTAATAACAGTTTAAAATGGCGTCGCTCTTTCACCAAAGGGAAATATTTGCCTTGCATATATTCGCCAGTATAGATGTTTTAAAAAACATCCTCATAATATATTTTGTCAACAAACTGGGATTCAACATGCGATCGAGTTTTAATCGCTGTCGCTACAAAAAAGAATTGTTGTTTTCCTCAATAGACTATGAAAAATTGAAAAACATATGGGCATAAAGATACATAAACAGCTTTTTGAGATTTCATTGTGAATATAAAAATACCACTTTTAACGAAAATCCTCCAATGTGGACTGTTGGACCGGAAGTGACTTTCTCCTGAAGTAGATTTTCATATCTTGCCAATTTTAACGTTCAGGTGGAATTAGAAAGTAAAAGTGCTACAACAGTATTATTTAGGTAGGTTATTGTAAAGTTTTTGGCTAATATACTCTATATAAGCTTTATTACAAGGGGGAAATGAGTGGACCGCAAGTGGCTGTATTAGCATCTTCAAAGCGAGTCCGCATAGTGAAAAAGCCGTGACTTTAGTATTTTCTCTTTGTTTTTTACATACCTAGGGCTAAACTTTCTGCTCATGTCGGAATTGTGTTATTTCAAAAGTGGGCACTCAAGTAAATCCGACTTAAATTTGGGTTATTTTCAGTTTTACTAAAAATGCCTTTAAGAGCATTAACTTAACAATTATTTCACAAACAACAGAAATATTTTTTGATCCATATGTTTTGCTATAAAACCCTTAAGGATGGAGATAATAAAAAGTGAGTTTATATTTGGCTTAAAATATTCCTGACATTGTAATCAAAGTATTCAAAAGTGCCCAAAACGGGCTATAAAAAAGGCATTGGGGGACCCCAAAAAGGGTAACATCTAGAACTCAGCCCAAATAAGAGCAATGGAGCTGAAACTTCAGCATATTGCAAAAGTCTCCATAGTAACTAAGTGTACCAAATTTGAGCCAAATCGGCCGACCCCTATTTCCAAGCCTGCCCCGGTCTTTCAGGCAAAAGCTCTCTCTCCATCACCAATTTCCCTGATTTTTTCAGTGGAAGATAACTATCCTATCACATGAAGAAATATCACATTTATTTGGACCAACTCAAGTTTTTCTCTATTTTAGGGGAAGATTTTCTCGGTCACCTAAAACTAGCTAGTTTGCCGTCGGAAGTGGTGCGATTTTGGTGAAACTTTAGGGCTCTGTCAAACCTACCTTACATAGCCGAATAAACTGATTATTTTACACACAAAAGTTTTAAGTCTGATTAATAGTTTCAAGGTTTAATGGTTGCATTCTGTGGAAAGTTGGCTGAGATATGATTTTTTTTGGAATGACCTTTAATTTGCTCAGCAGAAAAAGTAATTTGCATAACTAGAGCTGAACGGTAATTTCGCAAAAGTGGCACCTGACCCAGACTCAAGTCTATGATAAATCAGAAGTACTAAGACCAGTCTACTTCTTCATGTAATAAAATTTGTGAGCACTCTTCTCAGCGCGGTATAAAGTTCCGTTAATGTTACAAAATTCGCCATTTTGACAGCAAAGCGGGAATTGTAACGGTCCGCATTTGATCGACTAATTTCCACAGTTTTAACGTTTCTAGTTATCACCAAATGTCATTTACACCCTTTAAATGTTGGACTTTTGAAAACTTGGTAATCGCTTTTTCTTGTTTTTTTTCCTTGTCGACGATCAAAACGCGACTTCATTCTCCGTATGCAAACTAGCCATAGATGCGTCGTTTTAACAAATTGACAGGAAACATAACTGCTTATATTTCACATTTTTAAGGGAAAAATATCTCTTCTTTCCACGGAAAAACGCAAACGATATATGACTTACAATCCCCTTAGGTCTGTTTCTTTTAAGGGAAGAAGCAGTAGAAGAAGATATGTTTACGCGAATTAAATAATTTAATTACTTTGGCCCGTCGCGCATTCCCCGAGAGTGGCCGTGTATATATCGATCAGTTCTTTTATCTGATTATATTTTTTTGAAGTGATAGTTATTGATAATCATACAACTTAATCACTGTTACTTCCGATTCTTTACTGGGTGGGAAATACCGTGCTGTTGTATTTATTCATCCTACGACCGTTTTAACTGAGTCAGTATCCCCGGGCGCAACCGTGAGGATAGGGTTTAATATGACAGCCATGGAGTAATACACGACAATTAGCTACAAAGTAGTCACTTGATCATGGCCACTCTTATTTACGAGCACTAGCACAATATTTTCAATTACAGAATTAACAATTAATATTTTCGAAATAGCTCGCAAACAACTTCAGAAATATCGTGCGACACCACACGACCACAGCTGCAAAGTCCTTTAGGCCCCACATTTCCTAGATCCCTAGCTAACTATAGCCTACCCTACAAACTTTAGGGTGGTATTAACAGAGCATTGTGTTTATCGCCAATTAACAACATTTCAGTAAAAATGAGGAATGGCATGCAGAAAAAGGCATAGTTATTGTTTGCGGTCCGTCTCCTGTCAAATCCCAAAAGTTTTTGCCGGCTGTTAATCACACTAAATTAAGGATCCCTATGTTTACTCCTGAGCTGATGGAGAAAAGCACGTGCAATCTTGAATGAAAGACGAAAGTTGTCAATTTGGTCTCCTTTTCTTTCCTTGGATTTGAATGGTTTCAAAGCGACACATAATTTTTTGAGTATTACCGCGTTGAAATGACTAGATTGTTCTTCCTCTGACATT